TACCAGCGGCCCCCACTTTCTTCTTGCCTCCCCTCTCTTTTTCAATGTCAAGAAACAGTAGCAATGACTTGGCTGGCGTAGCTCAGTGGATTGAGCGCAGGCTGTGAACCAAAGTGTTGCAGGTTCGATTCCCAGTCAGGGCACATGCCTGGGTTGCAGGCCACAGCCCCCAGCAACCTCACATTAATGTTTCTCTCTCTCTCTCTCTCTCTCTCTCCCCCCCTCCCTCTCTCCCTTCCTTCCCTCTCTAAAAATAAATAAATAAAATTAAAAAAAAAAAAAGAAACAGTAGCGATGAGCAGAGCCCACCCCACACGCCCTGCCCCGTCTGGGCCCCTCTCCCAGTGCCGCCAGCTGCCTCCTTCCGGAGACGGTGTAGCGTGCACAGCCCGTGCTTGTGCGCTGAAAACACGGGCCTCCGTCCACCGCCGCCTCGCGCCACGCCCAACCCCGCGTTCGCTCACCAGAAAAACCCTCCGCCGCCAGCCTCCTTTCGGGGCAACTGCCCCCGCGCGTCCGGTGTTTTGTCTTTGGCCTTTTCCGTCTCTGCCCGTGTCGCAGCAGCGCGCTTTTCCGAGTGGGAGGCCCGGGTTTTCGCTGCAGCGCAGGGCCCGGCGCAGGTCCCCGCAGCGCCTCTCGCTGCTGCCGACGGGGCGGGGCGGTCTCCCCCGGCACGTGCGGCGGGCGGAGGGCGCGCCGGCGCGGAGGGCGTCTCTGTTCGAATTCCCCGACGCCACGTCCGGGAGAAACGTTGACGGGCCAGAGGGCGTGGGCGCTGGAAACGTCTCCGCGGTTCCCCTCTTCCGCCCGGACTCGCCGCCTCCTGACGGCGCGGCCGGCTCGCAGGGCGTTCCCAAACCCCGCTTTTCATTCTCAAGGTGTTTGTTCGTCCCTTCCCACCCAGTGTTTTGAAGTCCTCGCCCGAGGATACGGTTACTGATTTGAGAGAGACGGAGAAGCGCCGACCGGTCGCCGCCTGGACGCGCCCCCGCCGGGGAGCAGACCCTCGGCCCTTTGGTGCTGGGGCGGCGCTGCAACCCTCGGAGCCGCCCAGCCGGCAGGGCTCCCTCTGAGGTTTCCTAAACCACTTGGTGTGTTGTGGTTGCGCGGGCCTCCAGGGCTCCCGGGCAGTCGACACAGAGTTCCCTTGGGTCACCGGCAGACCAGCGGCTTCACGGGCGGTGAGACGCGCAGGTGACGAAGGACAGTCCCTCGGTCCCCACGTGGCTGAGCTGAGCGCAGGAAGGTCTGGGGCAGGCCCAGGTGGCCCGGAGTCCAGGCCCGTGGAAGCGGGGAAGCCGGCCAGCTGCTCGGAGACTCCGCTTTCCCGTCCGCCGCAGGACAGGCGTTTACTTCCGCGGGGCCCCTGACTAGGGCCCGTCCGGCCGGGGCCCCGGCGCTGGCGGCCTGGGCGGGGTGTGGGGGTCTCCAGTCTGTGGGGGGAACAGCGACCTCTGCGGGGGGTGAGGAGGCAGCATGCTGGAGGAGACCACAGCTGGCTCCAGGCGGCCGGGGGAGGCAGGTGCCCCCCACTGGACCCAAGGGGGTCCGTGTGGGGACTTGGCTGGTGGACCTAACAGGCCGGACCCGGGGACTGCAGACCCTCCGGCAGCCCTCCCACCTGCCACCTGCCGGAGAGCGGGGGCCCGTGGGCGCCCAGGGAGGGGACGGCGCGCCGAACCCAGGGTCCTCCTGTGGGCTGTCTGGTGGAGGAGCCTGGGGGGGGGGTGCCCCTCACCAGTGTCGCTGCTGCCCTGGGGCCGTGTGGCTGTCAGCCAGGTGCATGCGAGACACCTGGGCGTGGACCGGACCGTGTCGTGGGGACAGGCTGGAGCGGGAGCGTGGGCAGCTACATCGCTCTCTGCTGGGGCTGTTTCAGCCCTGAGGTGCAGCCCCGGGGGTGAGAGAGGTGGGAGTGCCAAGTGCACCCCAGGGTGCAGCAGTGGGCCCCCATTTCTGCTCCCACGGCCGAGATGCAGGTCGTCGCCTTGCCCAGAGCGCACTGCCAGCACCTCCTGCCGGGCAGCCTGGGGAGCCCCGTCCCGAGCCGGCCCAGATAGAGCGGTGTCTGTAGCGAGGGGCTGGGGCGCGGGTCTTCCCTCCCTGGAGGGACGGACCCTGTCGTCAAGCCGCTCCTCTGAGCTGGTCGGGCCCTGGATGTGTTGCCGCAGCTGCTGTGGGGCAGCCGGGCCCCAGGCCCCGTCTTCACCGCGCTCTGCCTGCCCAGGACGCCCTCGGGCCGTAAGGTCACCACCCTCCACAGAGAGGGCCCGTGGCTGAGCCCGCCGGAGGCGAGGAGTGTGACCGGGGCTCCTGCGGGGACCCGGGCTGAGCGTTCCCTGTGAGCCCTGGGAGCCAGGGCCGTCCTAACCCTGTGACAGTTACGGGCTGAGTGAAACCGCGACCGAACGTGGCCGCCATTGTTCAGTTTGCCGAGCTCTGCCTGGTGGGCGAGGGCTACGGGACGGAGTACCGTCCAGATGCTGAGGCCGGCCGGACGGACGGACGTCCCCCGCCGGTCTCACCCTGAGGACTACATCTCCCGGTAGGAGCACAGTGTTAGCAGAATGGTGGTCCCCAGACCTGTTAGTGGGCTCTGCTCCACCCTCAGCTGTGGACCAGGCGTGCACACGCGTGCTCAGGTGGCTCACGCTGCCCCCGAGATGTGGAATGGGCCGCGTGCTGGACAGCACAGGGGACGGGTACAGTGGGCCCCTTGGCTGCGGCCTCACGGCCCGAGGTTCACGTTACCAGCGGCCAGCTGCGATGCGAGCCTGTGAAGTGGAAAATGCCAGAAGCAAAGCATCCACCTGTTTCGACTGTGGCCCTTCTGAAGGGCGTGCTGGGGTCCCGCCCTCGCCGGCTCCGTCCTGACCGGAGGCGAACCGGCCCTCCATCTCCCGCTAGCCACGTGGCCGCCGCCCTGGGGCTCCGATCGGCGGTCTCTGCACTGCAGCGCCTGTGCTCTGGTCGCCGGGGTGTTACAGTTACAGCTGCCCCGTTCTGTGGTTCGTTACCAGTGTGCATCTCTCGGGGGGCTACTGAGAAACCAAACCTGCAACAGACGTGTGCTCAGAGGGGACACGCAGCACACTGGGGGTCGGTCGGTAGCATTTGTGCCTTCAGGCATCAGTCGGGGGCCTTGGAACGGACCCCCCCAAACAAGGTGGAGGTGGGCGGACTGTATCCCGTCAGGGCCCAGCTGAGTGGCTGCCTCGGCTGTCAGTCACGGTGTGGGGGGCTTGCACGTCTTGCAGCCCCCCGGGTCGTCGTGGGCCCTGCGTGTGTGGTTGTGGCATGCACGTGTGCTCACAGTGACGGGGTGTGCTCACACTCAGGGGGGCCCGCAGTGCCGGGGTCTCCAGCCCCCCGCCTGCGGGTGCGGCTGTGCTCCGCCGGCCCCCCGTCCCCGCGCCCGCCCTGGCTGGCGAGACGGGCTCTGGCCTGTCAGCCGCCCCGGGAACGCGCCGTGCTTTGCCACGCTCCCGCAGGACCCGGCTCTGAGAACGTGATAACGAGCGATCACAGTTAATGAGACACCCGTCCTCCGTCACACCCGTGCCTTTTCACGGGGCCTTTCCGGAAAGCATCTTAACCCCAGACTTCCCAGGTAATCGCCGGAACCCTAGTTCAGCTCAGCAAGGTGTTCTCTCAAGAACTAACAGAAACGACAAAGAGTGAGTGAGATGCCTTGGCCACTCAAGTGCGTGAGGAGGTGCGGCCTGCAACCGTCTCCCCTTGGGCACGGGCCGGGTGGGTCACGCCGTCAAGGACCCACGGGGCCCCGAGGTCAAGAGTCAGGCTCTTATCTCCTGGTGGGTGCGCCCTCCCGGCCTCTCCCTCTCGCTTGAGTGACAGCCGTCCTGTCCCCCTGCGAGGTGCCATCGCATCCGGGAAGCCGCCCTGCCGTGCCAAGGCAGCCTGTGCCGGGCGGCTCAGCACGCGTGAGATCCGCCTTGTTCAAGTTCAACAGCGCTTCAGGCTGGCAGAACGTGCGCAGCAGAGAAGTCCGCACCGGAGCTGTGTGTGGGGGCTCAGCGCGGTGGCATCACGGACCTCCACACCGTTGTGCCGCCGCTGCACCAGCCGTCCCCGCAGACGGACGCTCTGTCCCCATCCGACCCCAGCCCCCACCCCGGCCTGGCACCCGGCACCCTCCGCTGCTGTCTCCGTGGCTTGGACCCCGAGGCCCTCACAGAAGCGCGGTCGGTCGCACAGTGTCCATCCGTCCGTCCAGCGCGGCTGGCTGGCCGCAGGGAGCGCAGCGTACTGCAGGTCCGCCCGCGTCGTGGCGGGATTTCCTTCTCGTGTGTGTGGCGGGCGATCCTCCGTGCTGGGCGCGTCCGTTCTCCTGCCGACGGACCCCTGGGTCCTGCCCCCTTGTGGCTCTCGTGAATGGGGCTGCCTCATACCCCAGGGCTCTGACGCCCGTCCGGTGCCCCTGCCCCTGGGTGCCTTCTGTGCCCTGCGGGCGCGCGGCCGGGGGCCTGTTGCCGCCTCCTTTTCAGTGAGGCCAGAGCACGTTCACCGCCTCTCACCACGGCGGGGTCTCTCCCTGTGCAGGCACCGTGTGCCTCTGTGTCTGGAGCGCCTCGCCCTAGACGTGGAGAGCCAGGTGCCACCTGGCAGGAGGGTGCGAGGGACTCACAGGTCGTTGCTTGTGGAAGGGGGAGCCCGCGGGAGGGGGTGACAGGCGCCCTGCCCTCCCCACGCGGCCGCGTCGCCAGCGGGCGGACGCCCTCAGAACGGGGCGGTCACCCGCCCTCCGGCCGAGGCCACTTCCTCTGTGGTGCGTCCTCTCAGCAGAGGTGGGTGTCCTGGCGGAGCCCGAGTTTCTGCCCCCGAGGGGCCGAGCGGGTGGCCCCGTAAGGCGGGTGGTGCTGCAGCCTGGGAGCCCGGGGGAGAGACGTCTTTGTGGAGAGGGAGGGAGGGAGTGAGCGCCGGGAGGCGCGTCCTTGACCATGACTCGCCCCTCACCGTGTCCCATTTCTCTGCCCCAGCTTATGTTCCCGAGGAGGAGCTGAAGGCGGCAGACATAGATGAAGAGCGCGAGGAGGAGGATGGGCTGTCCCTGGACGTCCAGGACAGCGACTACGTGGGCGGCGACGACGCGGAGGTCAAGGAGGCCCCCAGCTACCAGGACTCCCCCGTCAGCACGGCCACCAACCAGGACGCTGGCTACGGGTCGCCCTTCAGCGAGAGCAGCGACCAGCTGGCCCACTTCAAGGGCCCCCCCTCCCGGGAGGACAAGGAGGACCCGCAGGGCCCCCCCGACAGCGTCTCCTACCCCCAGGACAGCTTGGCTCAGATCAAGGCCGTCTACGCGAACTTGTTCTCCGAGTCCTGCTGGTCCAGCCTAGCACTGGACTTGAAGAAGTCCAGCTCCACCACCAGCAGCAACGATGTGGGCCCCAAGGAGACCTCCACCCCCGCCCCCACGCCGCCCGCCACGGCCGCGGGGCCGGCCGGCACCACCGCCAGCACCCCCGGCACCAGCACCAGCACCGGCAGTGGCGGCGGCGGCGGCGGCAGCGGCGCGGGTGGCGGCGGCTCGGGCTACGACTGGCACCAGGCGGCACTGGCCAAGACGCTGCAGCAGACGTCCACGTTCGGGCTGCTGCCGGAGCCCAGCCTGTTCAGCACGGTGCAGCTGTACCGGCAGAACAACAAGCTGTACGGCTCGGTGTTCACGGGCGCCAGCAAGTTCCGCTGCAAGGACTGCAGCGCCGCCTACGACACGCTGGTGGAGCTGACGGTGCACATGAACGAGACGGGCCACTACCGCGACGACAACCGGGACAAGGACTCCGAGAAGACCAAGCGCTGGTCCAAGCCGCGCAAGCGCTCGCTAATGGAGATGGAGGGCAAGGAGGACGCCCAGAAGGTGCTCAAGTGCATGTACTGCGGCCACTCCTTCGAGTCTCTGCAGGACCTGAGCGTGCACATGATCAAGACGAAGCACTACCAGAAAGTGCCTCTGAAGGAGCCCGTGCCCGCCATCGCCAAGCTGGTGCCGTCCACCAAGAAGCGGGCCCTTCAGGACCTGGCGTCCCCGTGCTCCCCCGAGCCGGCCGGGGCCGCCGCCGCCGCCGCCACCGAGGCCGCCCTGAGCGAGGCGGCCAAGGACCAGAAGACCGCCAACCCCTACGTGACGCCCAACAACCGCTACGGCTACCAGAACGGCGCCAGCTACACCTGGCAGTTCGAGGCCCGCAAGGCGCAGATCCTCAAGTGCATGGAGTGCGGCAGCTCCCACGACACCCTGCAGCAGCTCACCGCCCACATGATGGTCACCGGCCACTTCTTGAAGGTCACCACCTCCGCCTCCAAGAAGGGCAAGCAGCTGGTGCTGGACCCCGTGGTGGAGGAGAAGATCCAGTCCATCCCGCTGCCGCCCACCACGCACACCCGCCTGCCTGCCTCCCACGCCAAGAAGCAGCCGGACTCGCCGGCGGGCTCCACGGCCTCGGAGGAGAAGAAGGAGCCGGACAAGGAGAAGGCGCCGGCGGCCGGCGAGGCGGACAGGAAGATCAAGGAGGAGAGCGAGGACGCGCCCGAGAAGTTCGAGCCCACCGCGCTCTACCAGTACCTCCGCGAGGAGGACCTGGACGACAGCCCCAAGGGTGGCGTGGACATCCTCAAGTCGCTGGAGAACACCGTCTCCACTGCCATCAGCAAAGCCCAGAACGGCGCGCCCTCCTGGGGCGGCTACCCCAGCATCCACGCGGCCTACCAGCTGCCGGGCGCCGTGAAGCCGCTGCCCGCCGTGCAGAGCGTTCAGGTGCAGCCGTCCTACGCCGGCCCTGGGAAGCCGCTGTCCGCGGAGCACGCCGCCCTCCTGCCCTCCCCGGGGAGCCTCACGCCGCCGCCCCACAAGAGCAACGTGTCGGCCATGGAGGAGCTGGTAGAGAAGGTCACGGGCAAGGTCAGCGTGAAGAAGGAGGACAAGCCCGCGGAGAAGGACAAGGGCTCGCCGGCCAAGGCCGTGTCCCCCGTGGCCAAAGAGAACAAGGACTTCCCCAGGACGGAGGACGGCGGCGGCAAACCCCAGCCGAAGAAGGGCCCGGAGGCGGAGGGGGGCAAGGCCAGAAAGGAGGGCGGGGTGGACGCCCACACCCCCAACGGCACCGAACCCCTCAAGGCCAAAGTCACCAACGGCTGCAGCAACCTGGGCATCATCACGGACCACTCGGCGGAGCCCTCGTTCATCAGCCCCTTGAGCGCGCTCCAGTCCATCATGAACACGCACCTGGGCAAGGTGTCCAAGCCCGTGAGCCCCGCGCTGGACCCCCTGGCCATGCTGTACAAAATCAGCAACAGCATGCTGGACAAGCCTGTCTACCCTGCCACCCCCGCCAAGCAGGCCGACGCCATCGACCGCTACTACTACGAGAACAGCGACCAGCCCATCGACCTGACCAAGGCCAAGGGCAAGCCCCTGGTGTCCGGCGCCGCCGACGCGGTCTCCTCACCCCTGCGGGAGAGCGCGCTCATGGACATCTCCGACATGGTGAAGAACCTCACGGGCCGCCTCACCCCCAAGTCCTCCACGCCCTCCACGGTGTCCGAGAAGTCGGACGCCGACGCCAGCAGCTTCGAGGAGGCCCTGGACGAGCTGTCCCCCGTCCACAAGAGGAAGGGCCGGCAGTCCAACTGGAACCCCCAGCACCTGCTCATCCTGCAGGCCCAGTTCGCCTCCAGCCTGCGGGAGACGCCCGACGGGAAGTACATCCTGTCGGACCTGGGCCCGCAGGAGCGGGTGCACATCTCCAAGTTCACGGGCCTCTCCATGACCACCATCAGCCACTGGCTGGCCAACGTCAAGTACCAGCTGCGGAGGACAGGCGGGACCAAGTTCCTGAAGAGCCTGGACACGGGCCACCCCGTGTTCTTCTGCAACGACTGTGCCTCTCAGTTCAGAACTGCGCCCACGTACATCAGCCACCTGGAGACGCACCTGGGCTTCAGCTTGAAGGACCTCTCCAAGCTGCCGCTCAGCCAGATCCAGGAGCAGCAGGGCGTCCCCAAAGCCCTGGCCGCCAAGGCCCTGGGCCCCGTGGGGGCCGCCGAGGACGACCTGGGCTCCGCATTCCAGTGCAAGCTGTGCAACCGGACCTTCGCGAGCAAGCACGCAGTCAAACTGCACCTCAGCAAGACCCACGGCAAGTCCCCGGAGGACCACCTGATCTACGTGACGGAGCTGGAGAAGCAGTAGCGTCCCGGCGCGCGCCCGCGCGGGACCGGCCCCTTGCACTACCCGTGGTCTCCACACTGCACTAGGCCCGGCCGGAGCCGCCCACGTCAGCCTCCCCGGGGCTGCCGCACGGCCGGCCTGGACCTTGGGTTTTCTTACACATATTTTGTAGCTATATTTATATGCTCTCTGTCCGATCGTGCATGTTATTTTTCTTTTTCCGTGAGTCAAAGTCTGACCTTTATTTTCAACATCTGTTCTCGGTGTTCAGCTATCTTTTGTAAGTAACGGTGGGGCACACTCTCCGGAGACACTGACTTGGCAGGAAAGAGACACGCCAGTAACGACCAGAAAACAACATCCGCACAGTAACCGAGTGGCCAGCCGTGGCCGTAACACAGGTCGCGGAGCCCAGGGGTGTCCGACTTGACCCATTGGGGACTGTAATCGCATCTCTGTGCCTTTCACTCAAAAAAAAAAAAAAAAAGAAAAGACAAAAAAAAAGGCTTAAAGGCATTTCATTCAGATCAAAAGCTGTGTCAGACACAAAACTTATTTAATAATTAAAACGTGAGCTTTTATATGCAGAGCTGGTTTGCGAGGGGAAGATGCATGCAGCTACGGAAGACGGAAGGTTGTCTAGCACCGGCGGGGGTGGGGAGCCGCCGCTTCACACGTGCAACACAGAAGAAGAACACAAACAAACAAAGAAAAACTCACAGCAACAAACACCCCAGTTGCCACTATGCCCAAACCCTCTGGATGCTGAAAAAAATGCCACTTTGGCAAAAAAAAAAAGTATGCAAGCTATTATTTAAAAAAAATGTGTAAAAATGCTATTCCTTTTTTTTTTCCTGTAAAATACTGCGGTTTATAGTTATTTACAAATGTAAGCTTTGGTACCAGCTGACCTTTCTATAATGTGCCGCACTGGCAAACGAGAAAAAAAAATGGGGCAAATGTTGGAGTGCTTTCCTTGTAAATCGCCAGCATCAGCTTACACACTCCTGTATGTTACATATCGTACCATTTTAATCTACTCAACTTCCTTTGTACCTTCTGGCTGTATGCTTTCTCTTTTAACTTTTTATATTGTCATTTTATATTAAATTTCTGTGTATATAATGTAAAACCACACTTTTTGAATAAAATTTAGTTCCCGCAGCTTGATTTAAATAGAGAAATTTTACTGGCATTTGCATCTTTCCAGATGCATGTATATCAGACAAAAAAAAATGAATAAATGAAGACAGAGCAAGGCACTATTAATTATACGTTTGATGTTCCGTCATTAATATTGTACAGTACGTTTGGGTTCACGCAATTAAATCCACTGTTTCCTCCATTGTAAAATAAATCTTCACGCCGTTCTTGGTTTACGTGCCTCGTCCTGTCGTCCTTCCTCTGCCTTTGAGGTGCGGCGGGCACGGCGGCGGGGAGAGGTGCTGCGGCTGCCCGCCCCCCCCCAGCCCCCAGCCCCCAGCCCCCAGCGGAAATGCCGCGCAGAGCCCTTGCTCCGCGGTCGGTGTCACGCAGGCGAAGAGCACTGCATCATTACAAACTATAGCTTTCACACTGCACTGCACTGCACTGGGTGCCACCGAGTTGAGCCTGGGTTGGTGGGTGTTCGGTACAGAGAGGCCCCGCGGGCAGTGGGCGGCGTTTACGGCGCTGGGGTCCACGGGGAGGGAGGCCTCCCTCTGGCAGGGGAGACCCCGCCAGACTAGCTCTGCCTCGCTCCCAAGGCGGAAGCCTGACGTCCGTTCTCTGAAGAACTCGCTGTGATTGGGTGTTTGGGACAGTCCCGCCTCTGCAGGCTGCCCTGGGCTCCGAGGACACGCCCCCCAGGGCCCCGCGGGACCGCCGGGGTGTGAGCACCGTGACCCTGAGCCCCGAGTCCAGGGCCTCCGTCTGTGCAGCGGGAAACACGGGGGTCCCGGCCCCCAGACTGTTTTGTTTTTTTTTTACCCAGAAGCATGGAGGATGTGGCAAAAGAATTTCTTTTTATATCTTTTACTTAAATTTCCTTAAATCGCATCCTGAGAAAGGGTAGCACTTCAGGCGCCGTGTGCGGAAGCCGCTGTGCCGCCGAGCTGTGCCCACGGTCCTCCGTCGTCCAGCTGCCGGGCTGCCCCCGCCCCCGTTGGCGGCTGCAGCCCGCCAGCAGCCTCTGGGCGGATGCCCTGGACGCTGGGGGCGGGGCCGCAGCCTCCCGGCTTTTTTCCTGGGTAAATGGCTCGGTTCCCTGGGAGCTAGGCCCTTTAGACGTTTTGGTTCAGCTCCTGGGTGATTATGCACTTTGGGCTCCAGGGGTGACGGGGAAGAATGACAGCCAGATCCAGGGGGGATGTGGGAGGAGCACGGAAGTTAGGTTCACTCGTCCACAGGCCCACAACCAGGAGGTCACACGGTTTCACCGACAGAGTCCGAGCCGGCGGCGGTGCAGCGAGAAGGCCGGTGCGAGCTCAGGAGGGGCCGCGGAGCGATGGGGAAGCTGCTGGCAACCCTCTGACCCCGGGGCCTGCGGGTTTCCTTTCTTAGTTTCCTGTCTTTCTAACTCGTTGACCTCGTTGCTGTTGCATCATGGATCCTAGCCCCCCGGCCCACGATGGGCACGCGACTCTGTCCTGTGACTGCCACACACACTGATGACAGGGATGCATCCTCCTTGCGGTCATGGTGCGCCCACTCCACACCGCCCTCCGGAGCCCAGCAAGGCACAGAGACTGCCCAAGTCCCCATGGCTCGGCCGGTGCCTCCAGACTCCCACTTTGCAGGCCCGGGGGAGGGGCGGCAGGGAAGGGCCTGGGCCTGGGCGTGTTCCGTGGGTGGGGACCAGAGCCCAGTGTTTGGGGTGACGCTGACAGACAGGGGCCCGAGGCCACCCCGAGCAGACGTCCCTTTTTCATGAGGCCGCCAGCTGCGACCCCCCTCCAACCACACCGCAGAGCAGCTCTATTTCCCGTAGATCTGAAAAATGAGTCAAGGTCATGCTTGTTATGAATCTGCAGTGACCTTGCTGACTGCAGACAGGCCTGCCTAGCGACTCGAAAGCTCAGGGAGGCAGCCGGGCACCCCCGCAGCGAGGACTCACCGTGCAGAGGTTCCCGCCCCGTCCATGCGTAGTGCGCCAGCGTGCCACCCTCCCCTGCACCCAGTCCCCGGGGGCTGTCCGTGTCTCCGAGCCCTTTGGCCCTGGGGACCGGGTCTGCAGCCTCTGGAGCCTGACCGCCAAAGGCCCAGCGATGGGAGAGCTGGCCGTCTGCCCACCTGCAGGGGCCGTGGGGGCCAGGCAGTGAGGTGGCTGCACGGTGTTTTTGGGTGGCCAGGGTGACACTGTGCACCTGTACAAGTGACCCTGCTGGAGCCCTGGCTTTAATAACTAGTTACGTATTTTTTCCTCTGTGGGGTTTTAAAAGGTTGGAGACATTCCTCAGGCTGTGTGTTGGGGGGAGAGGTTTGACGTCACTCAGTCGTATTTAGCGAGACGGGAAGCCTGTGAAATGACGGTGGGCGAGGGCTGACGTAGGACCGACCGTCTTCCCGGCATCATGGGAAAAAAGTGATTGAAACGTAACATTGATGCCCCTGCGTTTCTGTATTTGGTAACCTGTAAAAAGTGCCTTACCCTAGTCTAAAATATGTCTGAAGTTCTCCCAAATTCTCAGACACCTGTCCATGCACATAAAGGTTTCTGCTTTTTTCCAAGTCCAAATTTCTTGTTACTAACTTTATTACTGTTTCTCTGAAGATGAAGACCAATTTTTGAATCGTCAACCTAGGAGCCACCGAGGAGTGACATTTAGGGAATGCCCGTGCCTTCCCCACGACTTCTGCGTCTGCAACAGAAGCAACACACGGTCATCGAACAAGATGTGGAACCCAGCGAAATAAAGAAGGAAATAAAAATAACCTTTTCTCGTGGATGGAAAAGTCCCTGTTACTGTTTTAGTGGTAACATCTCCCCCGTGCCGGGCCCCGCCCTGTTCCTACAAGAGAGAGATCACACTGAGCACACTCTTGTCCTTTGCTTTCTTCACTCTATGGTACATGCGTGTTTTCCCATTTCTTTAAATATCGAACGCTTCTGATCTTACCGAGATGCCCCGTGGGCCCCAGTGTCTGTGACCCGGGATTCCGGGGCAGCTGCGTGAACAAGGGAGGCCGGTCCCCAGGGTCTGGGGGCCCTTACCGAGACACAGCGTTAGGGTTTCACCGGCAGCTCCTCAGAAGGGACAGGCTGCTTCGTCACATGCTCTTAAATCGCGGCGGCATTCAAGAGTCGATCTGACTGCGGTGAAGACCATCTGCTGAGCTTGCTGGGTCGTCCTCACCCCCCAGGGGGGCGGAGCCCCGCGCGGAGTCACGTGGTCTGAGACGTGCACACCTTGTGTTTGTCACCGAGGAAGAGTTGGTGCCAGTTCCGGGGCGACGACGTGATGATGCGGCACATGTGTCTGTTGCTCAGGGATCACCACGCGTGGTCACCCACGTTTGATCTGTGTGACCCGCTCTCAGCCACCTGCATGTGCACAACAGAGTCTCGTGACCTGTGGTCACCACGCCGGCCGCCACGTCCCCGGACTGGCTGACTTTCTAACTGGAAGTTTGTGCCTTTTGAGCCCCTTCCCCCCTTCCCCCACTCCCCACCTCGGGCACCACCACCCCGTTCTGCTTGTGAGTCCGTTTCCTCCGCGTTTGGGATTCCCCAGGTGAGTGACGTCACGCGGTACTCGTGTTTCTCGGTCCGAGCGGCTTCCCGTCGTCCTTCTTCAGCAGGAGCCCCAGAAAGTAGTTTTCGGGCTGGGGAGAGCGCGCCGCTTAGGCACGCACCGCAGAGGAGGCCGTGGGACCGCGCGCGCGCACCGCGCAACCCCGACGTTCCAGGGGCGTCCTCCCCCGGGAGCGAGCTCGGCCGGAAGTGCGCTGGTGAGACGGACCGAGGACACCGTTGCACGGGACCGGCAGTTCCTGACACGCGCAGCCGGGAGGGAGAAGCCCGCCCGGCGCCACCGAGCCGGCCGTCAGCTCCTCCCGCGAACCCGCGCCCGGCCGCGCTTCCGGGGGCGCCCCAGGCCGCAACCTTCTTCTCTCTCCGGCGAACTTTTGTGCGTGTCGCATGCCACGGACACACCGGAAGTTTCCTTTTCTCCCGGCAGAACGGCCACCTCTGTGGGTGTGCAGTAACTGCTGCGTCACCACACAACTAAGAAAGGTGGGAATTTTTGGACCCGTCCGGCCCGTGCGGTTGAAAATTAGATATTGAATCCTGTTTCCAAGCCGAAGCTCTCGGATACATATCTCTGCCATTCTGCCCAGTTTACATTGATTAATCATGGATCGATTAATCATTACATTAACCAATTTCAACCTCTGACTCTTCAGCGTCGTTAAAATCACGGAAGGCAAATATTGAGTTCTGTTTGGATTTTTTAACCCAAAGAGACACGTGTACTGAATTTTAAAAAGAAACTCGTAAAATCTGATGTTTACTTTCCAAACGATGCATCCCCCGTCTGGAGGGGCCTCACTCTTCAGAGTCAGGAAGTGTGCAGATCGTGAACTTGGATAAGCTGGTCCAGGACGGAGGGCCCGCACACTGTCCCTCTGTCTGGTGGGACCGTGGGTTTTCTCGGCACCGAATGCCGTGACTGACGGCCTCCTCTCAGAACCAGCCTGGCGGCATCTCAGCCGGGGCCCCCTCCCGCTTCACCGTTCCCCCCATCGGCCCGCGGGCACCCGTGGCATCCCAGTCTGGGAAACTCGGCGAGCAGAACTCTGCGGGGAAGGGCTTGGTTCGAACTGCAGGTCCCTAGAAACGTTTTTTAAAGCGTGGGAAGTGCCAAATGGTTTTCTTGCTGGCCGTGCTCCTAAAGGAGACACGGCTGTTCATCTCATTCTCCCTGGGTGTTTTGGAAACGGACGGTGACAACACGTGGCCTCTGACTTGCTGCCGAGGGAGCATGGCGACGCCACGGGGTTCGTCCCGCGGAAGGGCCGCAGCACCGCCCTCCGACCGACCGCGCCAGCTGCTGGGGAGGACACGGCACGTTTCCCAGGGGGCGCCGCCGCGCCGCTCTCCAGCCCACCGCGCTGCTCTGCGAACTTCCGTTTCAGTGAAGAAAACACGCCGCCTTCCCCCCTGAGACGCGCAGATGTGTAGCTTCCTCGGACTCCGCTCCAGAGGCTCGCCTTCCCGCGAGCGGCGTCCGCATGGGGAACACCGCGTCCGCGGCTGAGACGCTGGCATGGCCGGCGCCCTCTCGCCCGCGGTCTCTGCGCCGGGAGAAGAGTCCAGCGGCTGTGCGTCGACGTGAATGGAGGTGGTCCCCCGTTCTGAAATGTGAAGTGGGCGGCGCCCTGGTCATGGCCCTCCCCA